GGTATAAACCAATGAAGAGCAGTTGAATATTCAATGAAATGTTACGTAAAAGTTCATCGAGCTGTCGATGATCCCGTCATTCGTCCTAGTTGCGTCTTTTTCCTTAGATATTCATCAGCGATAGAGGGCAAACAACAAAAATGACTGCATATGAATTAGATGGGAATGATTAAGGCTTGCTTCAAGATGGACATACTATCAAAATTCACACAAATTGACCTGTTTTGTCAAATCCTGAAATCCTGGGATTTTTCAAAACTTAAATCCCGAGATCAAGATCAGAACTGAAATCCCGGGATCCCATACAAACCCCTATGATTACCGATAAAATCAAAAAGATCTCTGCGTTCTCTGTTCCACACAACTAACTCAATCGTCGCTCGTCATAATTTTCTGATGTTGTGATCATAGGAGTGCATGAGGCTAGTGTCGCGTTGTTTTAGTATTCATCACTATATCACGAACTAATCACGATATCGCGTTATTTTAATAAGTATAGTATTGTTATCACTTCTGTCCTTTAATCTGTCCTTTTCTCATTCTTCAGTGATCTTTTTCCGAAATACTTGCGTTATGGTGTACTTGCATGTAATCGTTCCTTTTTATAATGACTGCCGTAAAAAGTTACTGTCATCTAACAGACAATAAGAATTCTCTATTTTTGACGATGTCTTATTCGTATTATTAATAATAAAAGTAGTGGTTATTTCATCGTTGACATTTATTTTTCTTATTCATATGGCAATAACCAGTGAATAATAGCAGCACATTAGTTAGTGGAAATAGTAATTGAGCGACAGTGAGAATGCCTTTTGTTGCAGAATATCTTATAAAATTTTTGATGTACTTCAGCAAGTGCCAGTGCAAGTGATGGATATTCACTCGATGGGTCAACGTATCGTGGTGAGTGACAGTCAGGAGTCAATTCACTTCATGCGCTACAAGAAACTAGACAATCAGTTGTCGATCTTCTGCGATGACACCTCGCCCAGATTTGTCACGAGTGTCTGTATTCTCGACTACGACACTGTTGCCGTTGGTGATCGCTTTGGCAATATTGCCGTGGTTAGTTCTTTTAACAGCGATATTGCAGTCGATCACTGATATCTTCTTAAGAATATATTTAGGATTTGAAATAGTCGAGTTAAGTAAGTTTACTTCAGAGAATTCGTTGTTATGATTGTTAGTGATTTAAAGGCTTATTTCAATCATACGTTGTAACAGAGCCATATAATTTTCATTTGAAACAGAGATCGAGCTTAAATGCATTCTCTAAGTTATGCGAGTATTGGGTTGGTTATATAATTGATTACATCATTTGATGGACTGGTTATATAATGAATAAGGGCATTAAAAGTACATGTTCGTTTAAAAGTACATCTTGTTTTTTTTTTCATTCGTTCACTTACTTACTTTTCATTTCGTTACGTTCTGTTCACTTGTTCGGTGTTTGTTTCGGATGGAGAAGGGGTATACCATAGCCTGTTTATAGATTTTCATGAAAGATACATGAAAGGTATTGGGTAATGTTGTTGTTTTGCTCCCAAAACGTTAACAGCGAGCAAAAATTTTTCCAAGTCCAAGATCTCTCATATGAATGCCACTGTTTGCGTCCATTGATTACATCGCATCTCTGTTTTGTTGTATTTCGTCTCACCCTCTCTCTCATTTGTGTCGTACTACAATTTCATTTCGCGTCTACTCAGCTGCATTATTTCTCGTGGTGAATGCATTAAGGTGAACATTATGACATGAGTTTTGGTTTATGATTTTGGTGGCCCTAAAGAGGGCCGTTGGGTTTAAACGTTATTGTCACATTTTTGTTTATTATTACGAACAAGCATCTGTCTCTTCAATAATCAGTCCAAACCAGTGTGAAATCTCATTCATTTCTTAAGTGTTTTTGAGTTCAGCATCAATAAATAATAATGAATATGCTGGATTAAGAAGTGGATATGTAGACTTGAAGCGTAAGGCACTGAGTGGTGAATTTATACATCATTCACACTACGCAAGGCACAGACCGTTCAACTGTAACCAGCGTCAATCATTCAATATCGATTAGATAGCTAATTCTAAGTAGCTAATAAGCGGAGCCATGACCTGGCTCAGCATCAGTGATATTGGTATAGCAGTCGATTCCAAATGAAATTTTCTCCAGCGGGCGGGAATCGAATCCGCGACGGATCGATCTCCGCTCGGATACTCTACGCTTCAAGCAATTCCAATGTGAACTCTGAGAAAAAATATCTTTGCTCATCTTGGTTGAGCAGTGTGAGAAAATGTTTTGATTGTTTACGTATTAGGGCATTACCCTTGATATGGAATTTAATGAGTTTTCAGATTTTTCTCATGTATCATTTAATTCTGCTTCTTTAAGATTCTGGCTAATTGTTGATAGTTACATTGTTTTTGCAAGGGAAAATATAATGATTGAGTTATTGTTCCAAAATATTTGATGGTTGAGTTGGTGTTTCAGAATGATTAATGTATGATTGGTCCTTCATTAAAGATTGTCACACAGGAGATGATAATGATATTATGAAATGTGATTGTTATTGCAGTTACGATTACCGAAAGGAGTTACCGAGGAGGTACAGGAGGATCCAACAGGAGTTAGAGCCTTATGGGATCGGGGCAATCTGAATGGTGCTTCGCAAAAGGTATGAAACAATGCTACAGTTATTGATAAAATGAATTTGGGCGAGTATTGATAAACGTGATATTGGCGAATTCAAGGTGGAACATATTGCGCAGTTCTATGTGGGCGATGCAATTACATCGATGCAAAAGACATCGTTAGTTCCGGGTGCGAACGATTGTTTGGTGTATACGACAATATCGGGCATCATTGGCATGTTGGTACCGTTCATGTCGAGAGATGTGAGTGCTTTTCTTACTTGTTCAGTTGCAATATATGCTTGTTAGTGCATCAAGTAAAAGTGTTTTAGGAATTTGACTTCTTCCAAAATCTGGAGATGCATCTTCGTGTCGAATTCCCTCCACTGTGTGGACGTGATCATCTAGCGTTCCGATCGTTCTACTTCCCAGTCAAGGTGAGGAGTAGCGATTTATTCAGTATTAAAAAAGTTTGAAAGTAAATCATCAAACTGTTTTGTAGTGTATTATTGATGGCGATCTCTGTGAACAGTATGCTCTGATGCCGCTCGATAAACAAAAATCGATTGCTGAAGAATTGGGCAGAAAACCGACTGAGGTTAAGTTTTATCCGTGTAAAGAAATTTTGTTTAGATTGTTGAAAAAAATTCGTAACTGAGCCATCGAATCGTTCAAATTCTTTAAGATTCCTGTTAATCGTCGATACTTACATCGTTTTTAAAGGGCAATATTAAAGAAATTCAACTCATCTTGCGAGAATTAATCGTATTATAATAATTTATTTAATGAGTTTATGATAATTTCTGTTCAGATTTTATGAGTTTATGATAATTTCTATTCAGATTCACAAGAAATTGGAGGATATTCGAACTCGATATGCATTCTAACCCCGTTGTCTTGTCTGTTCATACATTACTCTTGTTACTGTTGTTATTGACATCGTTATCAGTGGTTTTATCATTATCACATCAAATGGATTAAAAGACCCAAAATGTGGATTAAAAGATCCAAGATATTCATTCGATCACTGTTTCTTAATTTTATTTTTTTATATTTTGATATTGATTGCATCTCTTTACCATTCTTATATTATTTATTCGTCTTAAATCTGTTCTTAAAAACTGCAGTTTTCGATTGGATAACTTATCAGTAGTAAATTAACTAGTTTTTGATGGTAGTTCACGGAATAGAAGGAATTTCAAAAAATACATGAATAGGTATTTCGGTGGTATCTTCGGCAGATTACATTTAGAAAATGCTTAAAATGCTTCAAAATTTCGCATTCGGAATGCTTGAATTTGCTGTGAAAAAGATGTAAATTTGATGAGCTGTGCTTATGTCGTTGTTGTGATCGATGGTGTGTGTGTGTGTGTGTCCGATAAAAATATG